CATGTATGGTATAGTATGTATACATATATGTGTCCAAATTCTGTCGATGAGGCCACTAAGACAGAATCAAAACCTAGAAATAAGAAATGCACCTTGCACCAGATCTTAGCTTCCACATCTCAGTCTCCAATAGGAATGAGTGTTCTTGAAGAAGTGGTTGATAACAGGGTAGGAAACAGGAACAATATAACATAAATCTGGAGCAAGAGGTGTTGCTAGAACCAAAGCAAGTACTCAGGAAAGAAACATATGTCAAAGGGGAACAGAAGGAGCCAGCCTGAAGGGCTCACAGTTGGAAAAATATGAGTACCAAAACTAATAAGATTATTTTGATTTATAACCCAAAGGGCAAAATAACTATAATGAATCTGTATTGTGACAAGGGACCAAGAATCCCCCCTGATATTTGACACTGGAAAGTACATTCCTTCTTTGTTACTCTTGTCCCAAAGGTTAAACCTTATGAGAAATCATCAGAAAAATACAAATTGAGGGACATCAAAATGCCTGGCCAGTACTCTTCAAAAAATCCCTAGGTGATGAAATAAAAGGAAGGCCTGTAGCTGTCATAGATTGGAGACTAAAGAGATGCAAAAGCTGAGTGCACTGAGGCCCCAGGTCCTGGGTCTGATAAAGAACATTAGTGAACAAGCTAACAATGAAATCTGAATAATGATGTAATTTAGTTAATATGTGATATCAGTGTTGACTTCTTAATTTGATAAATGTTTCCATGGTTATCTAAGAGGTTCACTGTAGGGGAAGCATGGCAAAGGACATGCCAGAGATCTTTGTTCTAGTTTTGTACCTTTTTGGTAAATATAAGAGTATCTCAAAATAAAAGTGAGCAAAAAAGCTCAGCATAACAAATACTGTATTTTACAATTTCCACTTTTATTACTTCATTCACACCTCCCATTTCACTATCTCCAATGCCATAACTGGTTATTCTGCTTTGTTCTTTTCTTATCAAATATTTTACTAGCTCCCATGAAAAGCTTCCTGTAACTGTAAAGCTAGCAGTATCTTGGAGATTGTTCAGCAGATAATGCCGTCTCATTTCAGGAAAAGGAACTAAAGGCTGCAGAGATTAAAGAGTGTCCAAATCCCTCAGCTAGTGTGTGTTGGCACTAAACTTTCCAGAAAAGCTCTAGGAACATATAAGAATCACAGTTTTCATGGGTGGTTTTCTGAGGCCCAAGTTGTAAACCATCTACTTGGGGAAACAGAAATCAAAGTCAAGAGCAACTTGGGAAGAGAATTGGAACAATCCAATTCCAGGAGAACTATTGGATATATTAAAAAATAGAACATATAAGAATCACAGTTTTCATGGGTGGTTTTCCATGCCCAAGTTATAAACCATATACTTGGGGAAGCAAAAATCAAAGTCAAGGGCAACTTGGGAAGAGAATTGCAACCATCCAATTCCAGAACTAATGGATGACAAGGACTTTGGGCTTGTCAAGAACTGGACAGCCGTGGGTGGCAGCCCAGCAGGGAACATACCACCACAGGCCATCAGGGCAGCTGCAAGGGTCCAGGGTGGTTCTCAGGTGTTTGAAAACTAAAACCTGGATTGCTCAACAAGTTTCAAGATTAATGTTAGTGTGCTCTTATTTACCTCATTTGCTGGAAAAGCCTGACTTGTGATTGTGGATTACAGAGGAGAGCATAAATGATAGGATGCATAAAAAATAGAAAGCTGAGGATTTCTAGAGGTGAAAACATGGAGAAATCCCACCTGAAGTAGGGGATGCTGACACTGATTCTCACAGACTAGTGGACTTCGGGCTGAGGGGCCTTGCATGATTTCTCACTCTTGACACAATCAATATATCGGCCCACATAATTACTTGTTGCAGGGAGTTGTCTGCTGCAGTGTAAGATACATAGCAGCATCCCGGTTTCTACCTACGGATGCCAGTAGCACACTCTTTTCCCTAGTTGTGACAACAGAAAATGTCTTTAAACGCTGCCAAATATTACCTGGGGAAGGGCTGAAAACCACTGAGGTGGAGAGAACTGAGAAGTGGCATTCCAGGCAGACAAAGCAATAAGAATAAAGGGATGCCAAAGGAAACATCACAGTTGCCAGAGAACAACACGCAGCTCAGTATAACTTAAAGACTAACATCCAAGCGAGACAGAGATAAGGGGCACTCGCTATCAGCAGAATCCATTCCAGGGAGCTTGAATAATGGCATGCATTTAAATTGGCACTGAGGGTTCCTATGAGCGGGCCACTCATGGGCACCTGAGATCTACTTGCTAGCCACAAATCACAGCAGAACATTCTTTGACTACCTACTGAGTAGAGCTCACGAGACAGGCCCGGGGATGCCTAGGCTGCTGTTGGCCTGAGAACGTGGCTATCTCTGTGGCGATCTTGGGATGTTTCTGCCAGTGATAATATCATACTTTCCTGATGCAAATGTCTCTTGCCTCCTGATCACAAGGTCCTCTTCCCTGTCCCTTGTAAAACTTTGTCCCCTATTCCTATCACACACTTCAGACCCTGTTTCTCATACCACTGTTACATGACCAGCTTTTACTAGCCTGTATGATGTCAATAAATGGCAAAGGAACTTCTGCTCAAGAATCATAGTCTGGGCTTGCAAACCTCTCCACGACTGCTGTGTCCCTCATCCTGTCCCCATCAAAAGCAGCAAAAAGTTCCTGTCACAACTAAACACCAGTGCCTCCTCCATGTCTACTCAACTGCTCTGTAATTCATGAAGCTGATTTTACTTATTTTTTTACCTAAAAGATTTATTTACTTATGCATACAAGAGCTGGGGTATAGACCAAAGGTGGGTGGGGCGGTAAGGGGTGAGAGGATTCACCAGAGACAGAGTGGGGAGCAGGACAGGCAGACCTACTGAAATACACTGCTGAAGGGAGCAGTGTGCAAGACAGGAGAGGTCTGCTGCGCCATGCGGGTCACCTCCCTGGCCGGGAATCAAACTCATGCTGCTGCGGCTGCCAATAACTTCATAGTGCTGAGACTTAATACCTTGCATCATCAGCAAGGCTGATTCTAATGGTGGCATCTTAAGGGCTCACCTGTCTTTTGACCATCAGTTAGTTGGACTAAATGATTTTGGCAAGAAATTGAACAATGGGAGTGAACAGCTTTTCTTCCCAACTTCCTCTCTGTTTGGGTATCCTTTGGTGATGGCTACATAGCTCCTTTTCTTGGCTGTAGCTCTCATTCAGTTCTGCTACATCATACCTTCTGCAGACCCCTTTCAAACAAGGGCAGGTCAGCTCTTACCATGCCCTATGTGCCTCTCATCTTGTTTGTTTCTCTTATCCTGACCAAACTCTGCAAACAAGCCCTTCACCAGTTTCTCATCATTAGACCTGTTAGCGCATGGTGCTTGTTTTCTGCCGGGAGGTTCACTGTTACACTGCAAAGATTATAGGCTTTATCCTTCAGCTGATGGAAAGCCATTCGAAACTTAAAGCACCGGTGCAGCAAGGTTAGTTCAGCATTTTATATGTCTCACTATGATAACTGTGAGCAGCATGGATTTCAGGGGCAAAGTACCTATTGCAGAAAAATGAGTGAAGAGGACTCAGCAATAGTGCTGGTCACATGTGGTGATTATTTGAATAGAATACAGGTAGTAGGTATGGAGAATCAGTAAGATATGGGAAAATAGTTAGGGGTTCAATTCCTTAGAATTGGTGATGAAATGCAGATGAAAAGGAAAAAGCTCAAAGATGAAGTTCAGATTTCTATCTTAAGAGCTAACCGGGCACTTCAGCATGAGCTTGATCCCAGCCAGGGAGCTGACCCACATGGTACAGTAGACCTCTCCTGTCTCAGCCGCTGCTCCCCTCAGCAGTGTCTTTCATTGATCTGCCTGTTCCGCTCTCCACTCTGTCTCTGGTGAATCCTCTCACCACCCCAGCACTGTATACCCCAGTTCTGTATATTTTTTTTTTTAAAAAGTGACATAGTGGTTAATCATGTTTATGCCAACAGAATAGCAGCTCTGCAGAGTTGCTAAATGCTAGAACAGAAGTGAATATATATCAGGGAGAATAGAAATTCATTCCTCCATGTGGAGTTTGACATGTGACAGACCAGTGTGGGTATTCAGCTGGCCGTTATTCATGCTGGCAGGGCAGCTATAGTGCTTTAAATTTACATGTAAATTTCAAGATCATCAACACATAGAGGAGCTGAAACTTTGGGAGTGAGATCAAGGAACTTGAAGAGTAAAAGGAAAGGTGAGTAGGAGGAACCAGAGGAGTGGTCAAAGATGGCCCAGAAACCCAAAGGATGTGCTCAGCCTGTAGGCCGGGGGATTACGGACTTAGAAGGAGAGAAGAGAGTCAAGACTGTCAGTTGCAGAAGTATCAAGAGATTAGGGTTGCTGCTACAATATTAACATTACCATTGAAAAGTAGTTATTGCTTTTGATACTGCTTTCCCAGGCTTATTAAGGGCATCGATGAGAGAGTATTTGTAAATTTTCCAGCACAGTGCTAACACATTGCACGAATTTCATAGTTTTTACGTTAACTTGCCTAAAATCCTTTATAAAGATCCACACACAATAGAAAATAAACATTGAATATCAATTTTAAAAATTAATAATAAATTGTATAAATTCCATTATAGATTAGGAGATTAGGATACCAGTTTAATTTTGTAAATGTCAAAAAAGTCATCTAGAAAATAAAGACTGTTCTACTCCCCACTGTATCTCTGGTGAATCCTCTCACCACCTGCTCACCACATACCTCTGCCATGTACCCCAGTTCGGTATGCATAAATAATCTTTAAATAAATAAATATATATATATAATATATATATATAGTGTATATATAGTATTATACTATATAAGGCATGATCAGTTTGGACTTTCTTTAAAAATTTCAAAATTTCAAGACAAATTTGAAATTTTTATAATTATGAAGAACTGGCAGTGTTAATGCCCACATGACTGATAAAATCTATGCATAGTTTGAAAGGAATATTTACCTTTTGATGTAAACCTAACTGGCACATGTTCTCCATGGATACACAGGGTTTCCCACCAACTTTTCCAGAAGACAGGCAAATCAGCAGATCCCACGAGCCCAAGTTATCTAATGGCAAAGAGTATTGAGAAAGACAATCAGCTTTTTCAAAGGCACCATTTACTTCTTCAGATTAAACAATATAATAATATAAACCCCAAACCACAAGTAACAATAATCCTGAATATATTTAAAAGTCAACATTCAAAGTAACTAAGGTACAACTTTTCTAATTTAGCAGGTCTAATATTTTCAGATTTTTGTATCCTGGGAAAATTTGATTATCTGAAGGAATATCATAAAATTCCTTTAAAAAGCTAAAACTAGAATGTTCCAAGTCAATAAATACTTCATAAATTTGTAAAGTCATATTTGGAGGTTGGCAGAAAAGATGACTATATAGTTTTCTAAGATAGGAGATCCTTGTGAAATCAAATAATGATAAGAAGTCAAAACACCAAATATTTTGTTCTAGGTTTTAGTATCACCATTACTTTTTATAGATTTTAAACACCAAATATATTTCCATCAGATTTCTTATCAAAACAAACAAACAAACAAACATGTGTTAGGCAGGAAATAAAATACAGAGATAAATTGAAAAGAGCAGTTTTGTGTAGAAGAAATGTGTGGTCTAGTTATAGATAACAGAGTTCAATTCAAAGCACAGAATATGGCATGAACCAAAATGAGTGATATCTCCCCAAGGACAAAGTTCTTTGCCAATAAATCGTAGTAACTTGCCAAAACAATCTCATAATAGTACATTATTGCATAATATTTGAATATTTTTAATTTAACATTTGTGTGTATATATATTGGCTTATTTCCCTTACTTTCATTGATTTATTTATATAACTTTTTATCAGTATGTTACATAAAATTGGTGCATTGAAAATTTGTTAAATTAATGAATGAGGGTTCTATGATAGGATGACAAGCACATTATTTCAAAGAGGAGACATAAATAGGTATCTCAAAAATATTAAGAAAAAATACCACTGAGTAAATTATGAAAGCTTTGGGAAGCTTTTCCCATTTTTGGATGGGAATCCAGTTTTTTAAAATTAAGCAGTTTCTGTACAGATGACATCTTTTATTGATCAGTCCTAAGATAAATATTCCTTTGAGTACAACTTTATGCCAGATCTTGCAAATCATCACTTGCATTCAGTATTAATGATTTTAAAAAGTTAAAGCAAACAACCATTTCCCAATTCTATCTTGTAAATATTTCCCCAAATTTTTTATATGACAGCATAATGCTTTAAAAGAAGGGATTTCTAGGAAAGAAAAAAGAGAGATGAGGAACACTGATGGGTGGCAACTGGGAGTGAAATCTCACTCTCCACTAATGAAGTCCTCTTCCATTTGACATGCCCTGTGTTGTGTGGACTATTGGTTCCTCTGTCGGGAACTGACCTCTTGCTGGAAGAGAAGCCTCTGCCAATCTTGGGGTTCAGACAACAGAACTCAAGTTCGTTTCTGAGCCAGTCCATGAGCTTCTCTGTTGGCTTCATGTATCCCCAAGATGATGGAAGACAACAAAGTAGTTCAGCAAGACAAGAAGAAATAGTGAAGATCATTTGGGGTTGTGGGGAATCTCACCATGTGACAGTCTTCTGACCTTAGGTTTGCAGGTGTCTTCCCTGTTCCAAATGCCCTCACTTTGAAGGGCACTAGAGACAGACCCCTAGAGACCAAACTCCTAGAGACTAAAGTTTTGGAGTCTACAAAGACTCCAAAATTTTATTTTAAGTGTACAACTAGCATTTTGACTATAACCTTTTAACGTGTACAGAAAGGAGAAAACACAAAGACTGCTCTTATTCAATATTATTTCTACTCCAGTAAACACTAAAACTCAAAAAGAAACCTCCCATCCTAATATCCCCAACTAAATATTTTAAGAAGATAAAGACATGCAGAGACAAAGAGTGGGATTTCAAATCACAGGCTGCATTGTTTGAGTGTTAAAAGCAGTGAGTTTTATGTTCCTCTAAGACTAAGGCAAGTTCCCTTCACTCCCCAGGGCATACACACAATTTCCAGAGTTGAAAGAAAGAAATATATATTTATACATAAATGTTTAGAACAGGCAGATCCATTTAAATAATTCAAAACATGCAATTTATTAAGAACCTCCTATGAGTAGAACATTGTGCTAGACATATAAAAGCAAGTAACAACAACAAAAAAGCAATCGCTACTCCCAGCAACTTGTTTGAGGGCTGTAAGTATTAGAAAAAAATTAAGATAACACAGAAAGCATCACACCACTTCTTAGCATTAGAGGGTTACTCCTCATCTCAAAAATAATATTTAAATTAAAAATCAAGATTTCAAAATATTAACATTCAATATTTCAATTCCACTTCTCCCCTTCACATAAAGAAAAGTATAGCTGAAAAGTTCATGCGATCTCTTCATACTCTTTCTATGATGGTCTGAAAAATGCTGCCTATTTCCAGTCAAAATTCCTGTTGTTGCCCTCACTGGATTCTACCTCGTGCTTTAGAATCCCTGTACTTAATAGACCACTTCTCTCTCCCTTTATTTTTCTCTCCAGTATTGGAGGTTAACTCCCTCCCATGAGCCACACAACTCCCTTTTAAAGGAAAAATCTTGTTGCATTAGTTTTCCATGAATGTTTCATTTACCGAGTTGATGTTGCATATTTTTCCTTTTAATAGTAAAGTTGTTCACTAAGGTAAATCTGTTTGATTTGGAGGTGACTGTGGACAAGCTGGTATTTGGTCAGTTGATTTTATTTTTTTCACTGTTACTTTACAGAGTTGATGAGTTTCAGGTAAAATTTCTCACACGAGCAACGGCATACATCACCCCACAGCCACCACCAGATAGTGAGCATTCACCACCAACCCGTTAGCCTCCACCTACTCTCCCCAACTCTGCTCTGGTAACCACCATTCTGTTGTTAGAGTCTAAAGGACTGTTGTTATTCTCTTGATTTGCTTCCCCCTCCCCCATATTCCACAAATAAACGAAATCGTAGTGGCATTTGTCTTTCATGGCAGAATTTCATCTTTTCTTTATAGTTGAGTAGTGTTCTATAATGTATATACCCCACACCAACTTTATCTAACCATCTGTCATTAGCCTCAGATTATTTCCTTATATTGGCTATTCTAAATAGGCAAGCTATGCCATTCTAAATCAGTCATTATCGATAGGAATGCACATATCTTTTAAAAGCAGTGTTTTCATATTCTGGAACTGGAATTACTTGTGGATTGATCTTAAACCATCTCCAGATCTCCCATGTTGAGAAACGGCATTGTGACTCCAAAGAGGATGTTCTGAAATATACCTTCTTACAATCTTTTCTTCCTCAGGATCCTGGAAAAATCAAGAGGGACCTATGACCACTTTTTTTCACAGATGTGTCTTTTCTCAACACGTAAAGTGGTGCAAGCCCCAGCTCCTTCGTGCGCCTCTCGCGTTCTCTTCTTGTTTGCCTGGTGGTTGGGTTTCTCTCAATATTCACCTCGTGTCCGGCTGTTGCCACAGTTGTGAGTAGCGAGGACAGCCACTTTCTAAGCATTGGGACAAACATTTTGGATGTCTGTCTCACCTGATGTGCTTCTTCTGCCCCCAGAGGATTCACATTAGATCGTTAGACTTGGATTTGGGACGATACAGACAAAGTGGATGGTTGCTTCCTTAGGTTTCCTTGTCATAGGGCAAAGAAGCCTTTTTCTAGCCTGGCTCTTTAGAAGCCTCCCATTAGGATGTAGGTCCCATATCACACTAATAATAAGTAGTCATAGTAGTGGTTGTAGCAGCAGCAGTAGTAGGAATGGGATCAATTCTAAACAGCTCGGGACCACTTGCCATATGGTGGGTTACAGTGTCAGCACCTGGGAACTAGGCTTTTGGATAGTAATTTAAGTGCCTGACATTAAGTTCTAGACTGCCAAGGCATCAACATCAGATAAACACATTACCATCTCCATGACCAGATAAAGATTCAGTCACCACTCATGAAGTCTCCTCATTTTTTTTTTTTAAGATTTATCTATGCATGCTTACAGAACGGGGTACTGGCCAGAGGTGTGGTGGTGAGGGGATTCACCAGAGACAGAGTGGAGAGCAGAATAGGCCAACTGAGGAAGTACAGTGCTGAGGGGAGCAGTGGGCAGGTCCGGAGAGGTCTGCCGCACCATGTGGGTCAGCTCCTGGGTGGGGGGGGGGGGGGGGTTTGAACTTGTGCTGCATTGACTTCCAAAAGCTTGTTAATGCGGTGCTTTAACCTGTTGGGCCACCAGGGAGAGCCTTTCTTCCCCCAACCACCACCCCCCCCTTTTTTTAAGGAGCATTCTAGTTGACTGAATAACTGGTCGTCTGACCTCTTGCTTTTCCTGCCCAGCACTTTAATCCCACTTTTATGTTAAAATTCATTAATAAACAATGACCTGTGGAAACCTAGGCACCTCCCTGGACCTCAATAAAAGCAGAGCCCTAAGACCTCACTCTTTTTCTCCTCCCGAAGCTTCTTATGTGGCCCTAGGTGAATAAGCCTTCATCTTCAGAGTTCCCTGACGGTGGTTGCTGTTCGCATCTCACCATCGTCGTGTGAACCAGCACGGTCAGATCCACTACCACTCTGGGGCCTTAAAGTGAAATGCATGTGGGAGCTGGCGGGCAGCCCCGTTATTCCTACCCCGTAACATCATTACTGATAAGCTGCCTTTGTCCTCACCCAGCAAGAGCGTCTCATGTACTCTGGAACGTGACATATTAACTTAGCCTCCACCTGTTTTTAAAAAGCTGCTTTTTAATTTTTTTTCCTGATGGTTAAGAGGATTTTAGGGCGGTCACTAAACACCAGAGTGGGACTAGCTCCCAGACAAAGCTAGCCAAAACCTTAAATAGAGAGGTCAGAGGACACAGTTCTAGGAAACAGGATGTAGATGTTCCAGTGTTCATTCCAAATCACGAAAACATGAAAAATCTGCAGGCATCTCCCTATAAATTACAAAATAAAAATGCAGATAGCATCCCTTGCTACCATTGCACCACAGTGTTGCCACTGGAAACAAACCTCT